GTAAGTTTATAATACGAAGATAGCAAATTGATTAGCAAATATAAATTGTGATAGTTTAAAGTTAAAAGGGTCTACTTACACCAGCAGATGTCACGCATTTGTCCAGGAGGTCTGTTATCGCCTTCTCCTTACACAATAACAAAAAACCTTTTTTCTCCGCAATGGACCAAGTGTTTCTTTTTACCTTTAACGGCGTGCTCATTGTATTTGAGCGAAGACAAAATAAAGCAGAATAGACAAGGAAACGAAAACGCGTTGTAATTTGTAAACAATTTTTCCCGCCAGTGGCCTGCCAGTCCACCGCGGGGCAAGCGATAATTTTCCCGCCAAAAATTAACGCATGCGTACTATGCGTTCGCGTCTTATGTAAGACACGAAGGTACGAAGGTCATTTATCAGAAGTTTTTCTCGTCTTAGCTAAGACGCGTCTTATCTAAGAACAGGTGTTAAGGGCTGTTCTAAAATAAGACGCGACTTAGCTAAGCCGCGTCTTATTTTAGACGAAATGTGCCGTTTATACGGAAAGTTCGCGTGGTCCTATGTAAGACGCGTCTTACTTTTCCTCGTATAAATGGCCCTAATATTTCTCCTTTGTTTTTCTTATCTCTCGCTCCAGATCTCTGTCGCCCTTTTTCTCGTTTGTCTCTCGCTGGCCTGCCGCCAACTTTCTCTTTTTCTCTGTCTTTCTCTTGCCCTGTATTCCAAATTTGTGGGCATGACAATCAATCTAAGCTTAATACTTTAGACAAGACGGATACAGCAACAATTTCCCCTTTCCGTTTTCGTCTCTATTGACTCTTTAGTTGTGACACGGGTGGCTATGCGATTTCCCGCCAAAATAATCTCGAGTTGCATTTGGGTCGCCATACCTGTTGATTGAGTTATTTTGCATTGGTATGCCTGTGGTGCGGACGGACGGTCGCTCGTTCGGTGCATGTGATTACCAAATTTTCTGGGATGGGTAGATTTACTTACCCATGGTGCACCGCTGGCGAGCGCGCGAGACCTCCGCTATGACGTATCTTATTACATACTATAGCATTTGTGCTGTTATGCCTTATATTTTTTTACTGTTTTTTAGAGCAGAAAGGCGCGTCCCACCAAAGTTTTCGCAACAAACAAAAGCGAGCTGCGGTGATAAATCGCCGATATATCTGGCCTGCCACCTACGAAAAAGGGGAGGTTACCAAGGTAGTCATTCCCTATACAGTTAAGACAGGAGGCTGGTTCAGCGGACTTGGTAAGCACGATATAGTTCCCATGACAACCAACCAATTATCATGGTAGACACGATAACAGAAACATCAGAGCTGCTAAGTCTTGCTTTAGTGAAGCTTGATGCATAGATTATCAAAGCGTAAGTTCTCGTGTGTGAATTTACCATTTGACGTCCTATCCTGTTTTAGGTGACGAAGATAAAAAGACGATCAGAGAGGCAGCTGATGTTATTGCTAAACACACCTGCATCCGATTTGTGGAGAGGACAGATCAGGCCGATTATATAGAGTTCTACGAAGACGCAAAGTGAGAAGGAATATTTCCATTATTACTACTTACAAACTCAGAAAACCGGCGTGAAAGCTGGAATATTTCGGGAATGTTGGTTGGGTAGTAATAAATGATAATATAATAAGGACGAGACATATAACACAGCAAAGCTACAGGCCATATTAAAAACCACAAAACGATTCCCGTTGCCACTTCTGTTTAGTTTAATTTTAGCGCTGGTGGTTTTCTTTCTTAGCTGAATAATCTTTCGTTTAGATTTATCGACTTAGATGAAATTAAAAAGTTCTAGTTGTATTGACGCTTTGGATGAAATTGCACAATTGCTGATAACATTCGCTCTTTTGCAGGAATTTTTGTCAGTCACATATCGGTAAAAAAGGCGGGAAACAGCTGCTGTCACTCGGGAGCGGCTGTAAAAACAGGGGTCACGTGACTCATGAAATCATGCACGCGTTGGGTTTCTTCCACGAACATACACGACCTGACAGAGAAAAGTTTGTCAAGATTTTATGGGATAACATCTTGCCTGGTAATTCTGATTCTCAAGCTGATTTCAACGCTCTAGTGCTGCAACACAGCGAAACCGCGACGAAGTAACAATCCATATTGTAAATTTTATTGAAGATGTGATCGTCGCAGTAGTAATTGTTCTTAATCAATTTTTGTTAATCAATTGCAAATTAACCCGAAAAATTTTTTCGGGAATTGAACGGGATTCGAACTTATGGCCTCTGCGTTAGCGCTGCAGTGCTTTACCAACTGAGCTATGAAGACCCACAAATTGGGAGTAGGCCAGATTGTTGAGTTCATCTTAACCCGTGAAAGGAATGAAGCATAGAATAAAGATGTTGTGAAGGTTCCAGATTGTCCTGTTTACAGATATGCTCCTATCGGCGTGATTGACTCGTAAGAACTTTGTGTTTTCGTCACCAAATGTGAATATTCAATAAATATTTTAATAATTTTATTTTAAATTCTTATTGATTTTATTTATAAATCGTGGTAACAGTATTTGTTGCGTTGTTTTATAACGCATGACAGCCATATGGAATAGGAGGTAGATAAAGACTATGAAATATTTTTTTTCTTGACTTAGAACAAATCCAACAGTTTGCGATCCGCACTCGTGGCGAGGTAACCTCATTGGGTCAGCCTTACGACTTTCAGTCAATCATGCATTACTCTAACAAGGAATTTAGTAGGAATGGAGGAGATACCATACAGGCTATCGCAGATCCCAGCATGTCGCTTGGTAATATCAACTCGCTGTCTGCCCTAGATGTGATGCAGATTAACTTGTTGTACAAGTGTCCCGAAGCACTGACTCAAGGTACTGTGTGCATTCGTTTACCCCAACTTAAGGCAGTGCCGACAAGACACCCACTCACACCACGCCTTAACACCACACCATAGCCAGTGTTTTAAGGTATGCGCACTATTCACCACAGGGACAGCTATGAATAGCTCTTAATGCCTGTTGAAAGCCTTGCGTGTTACCTTTATGAGGGTCATTTCGCAGATGTGTATCTTGCTATCATTAATTCTGAAAGTTTATGATTATAGGCATGGAACGGCCAAATGCACATGACGGTTTATAGTCTCAGCACTGAGCAAAAAGTTCATTTCTTTCACTTAAACAATTTATTTTGCAGCTGGTAACTACATAGTGACAATTTACACGGGAAACAAGTATTTGGCTGGAACTGACTCTAGAGTTTTTGTGGAGCTTTTCGGTCAAACAGGGAACACAGGAGAAGTAGAAATGGCGGGAAGTAAAAGTGCTTTCGAGAGAAGCAGGTTAGTACTAAGCACTGCATTCCCTTAAAGCTTAGTATGATAAACTGGGCCTGAATATCCAGGTAAATAGTTCACTAAGGTTTGTTCGTTGTTTCTTTTAGTACGGACGCATTCAACGTTATTTCACCAAACTTGGGACAAGTGACCAAACTAAACATCAGACGTGACAATGCGGGATATGCAGCCGGATGGTACCTAAACAAGGTAACGATTACTACTGATCCTTAATCAAAATACGGGGTGTCACATCATCTAACTTGCATGGTGATGGGAGAGGAGGTAGGCCAAAAAATCATACAAGCTAACAAGTGTAGTACACAACCAATACCTCAACCAACAGCCAATCGGCATTTCTTACATTTTCCCGGATACTCTTTAACTCGTCCCCAGGGCTTTCCCAAGCTCTTGGAACGCGGTTGCAGCATTCTTCCCAGTCAGATGACCTTTTTTCGGCTTTTAAATAGTATGCAAATCCATTAAAACACATTTTTATCAGTGGAAATTTTATGCTTGAGATAAATTTGGTAACTGTTCCAGTTACGTCACCACCGCACTGAAATTAGGGACTTCAAGATCCAACGACGCGACGGCAATGAGAACGTCGCTTAAAAAGTGAATTTGCGTTCTTTCAGTCTTTGTCGCAATTATTCCTACCCACTTACTTTGTCAAATGTTGGCGAAAACTCCTGGAGTTGAATTCCTAGGCACCATATCCGAGTACAGAAAGAGAAATAAAATTTCGTCGTTGCTCGTTTACGTCCTCCATAAAACGCGAAATTAGGCATGTTCACATCGTAGTCATGCAAAAACGGGCAGAGAAATGTACAAAAAGGCGTGGTGCACGTGCAAAGTTGTTGTTTTGCTAATAAAACCTATTGTTGTTGTTTTTTTTTTGGACGTTCTCGTTACCGTCCGCGTCGTTGGATCTTAAAGTCCCTATTCTAACCCTAACCGGTATACGTTCACAAGTAAAGGTATTAACACTTGTATCTCACTTCACACAGGTTCGTGTACAGAATATTAAAAGACAGCTGGATGCAACATTCTTATGTTCCTGTTGGATAGAAAGCTTTCACACCAAGACACTGTTTCCTGATGATAGTGTTTTCAATGTTTACTCGAAAAAGAGCCGAGGAGCCATTTAATTTGTCGATAATCAAATGTGGCCTTGTCAAAACGCAGAGCATTCTTGGGGTGGCCGAACTTTTCAAAATGTCAATGACACACCATTTTATTGTTGTTGTATAAATCCAAAATTGGTTTGAAGAAAAAGATACCAGCAAAAGAATTCGATGTTGTAGCTAAAGTTGTTTTAAAATAAACTATCTCTTTTAGCCCCGAAGTGACAATTTAGCCCTGAAAACAGATTTAGCCCTTCCTGTATCCATTCAAGGAACCAAACATGAACCAAACTAGCCCTATGAAATGTCCATGATTCCAGTCCTCTGTGGATTTTGTTTCGGGCCATGGATCCGAACGAACCCTTGAAAATTGGATATATTTTCTCTAATGATGTGTTGTATTTAACATGAAACTGTTTCTGCTACTGTTTCTTCTAAAATCAAGAGTCGCAGCTTTTTGCAGTTTCTTATTACTCTAATTAGGAGATTATGTATCGTGTACAGTTCGATCTCATTTGCGCCCGACTGACAGCAATCCTTTATCTTTATCCAAACCTTTATCTGCTCTGGATTTTATCTTCGTTTGCCAAGTTTGTGCAGCAAGTTCTTAAACTTTTTGATCAACTTTTTAATGACTCCTTTCTCTTCTTCCACTTCCTCCTCCTCCTTGTCGTCGTCATTAAGTTTGAGTCCATTTGATCTTTCCCATTCACTGTAATCCATACTAATAAATAACAAAGCCGCAATCAATAAAATACTACTCAACAGAATAGCAATAAACCTAATTCGCCGTACAGGTAAATAAGGATGGTGTAAACATCGCCTCACAATTTTTAGCTTTGTTTCGTTAAATTCTTCTAGTTGTTCTTTTATTCACTGAGCCTCTTTTGGGCCTACATCGCAGGCTAGGTTCTTCCACAACTCTGTTCTTTGTTCTCAAGAAATAAAAGGTCGGCCTTGTGTACCGTGTCAGTGTAGCCAAGCACGTTGACAGAAATCAGTCAGAGTTTTCTTTTTTTAATGAGAATGTCTGAAAACAAAACCGACGCTATCATGTTCAAAACTTTCTCAGTGACATTAAAATATGGTATTAGCCTACTTTAAAAAAATTTCTCTGCAAAGTTATCAGTTTTGTTACGTTATTATTCAGGTTCCTTTTTGTATTTTGTAGTAAAATATTCAACTTCAATTTGTTACCTTTTCTTGGTTTTCCGTTTGATGTCATCTTCTAGCGCGAAAAACAGATCATCGTCTGTTTTCCCAACGTCGTTGAAATCAGAGTTTTTATTAGGAAACGTTTCTCTGGTCTCCCTTTCATCAAGAACAAATTCGTTGTTGTCTTCATACTTTTTGCCCACGTTTAAAGCAGAACTCTTTGCATTCTGGTCTATGGTAAAAGCCGACAAAGAAGACAAACATATTGCCAGGGGAAGCAAGAATAGCCGGAAAACGTGGTTCATTTTGAGAACCAACTTCGACAANTCAGTTTTGTTACGTTATTATTCAGGTTCCTTTTTGTATTTTGTAGTAAAATATTCAACTTCAATTTGTTACCTTTTCTTGGTTTTCCGTTTGATGTCATCTTCTAGCGCGAAAAACAGATCATCGTCTGTTTTCCCAACGTCGTTGAAATCAGAGTTTTTATTAGGAAACGTTTCTCTGGTCTCCCTTTCATCAAGAACAAATTCGTTGTTGTCTTCATACTTTTTGCCCACGTTTAAAGCAGAACTCTTTGCATTCTGGTCTATGGTAAAAGCCGACAAAGAAGACAAACATATTGCCAGGGGAAGCAAGAATAGCCGGAAAACGTGGTTCATTTTGAGAACCAACTTCGACAATTCGAAAAGTCAAGAAATCTTTGATTGATCCTAGCAAGCTTTACGAGTATAAATCGAAGTCACGTAATTTTACACTTCCTTAAATAGCTTACGCGGAGGGGACGCGATCACGAAAAGGAGGAATAACTTCTGCTACGAAATGCAAAGCAATTAACATTAATAAGTTATCACTTTTGATCTTCTGTCTGCCTTGGTGATACCGCGGTTTCGACTTTGTACATGTTAATGTCTCAAAAAAGCAACGTGCTTTAGATCCTCTCCCATCGACTTGTATGCATCGTCTTTCCAATAAACTTTTTTGAAATAGTTACTTGAACTTCTAAATCATTTGATTTTTTAAATTAAATTTATGCTGGTAAATGACCAGCTAAAGATTTCACTTAAACGTAAGTATTTGTCTCTTTAATTTATTTCACAGTTCTTGATTTTATCATACTCTATCGGCCACCATATGGCTATATTTATATTTGTGATAAAAGCGTGCATGAGGGGTAAACAATCGGTCAGTTTCATTGCATTTTCATGCACTTTTAATTTATCCACCAGTCTGATGTTTAAATTAGAACCCAAAAGAGACCAAACGTAGAGAAAAATCGATCGTAAACAATTTTTGAATCTCAGCACCTTACCATAGCAAGTAATCTCGGCTGTATAGGAGACCGTGATTTATTAGGCTATACGCCTTTATTCAATAATTTATAGTGCCAGGCGTTTTTGCGTGTTGTGTATATTATCAGATTTAAAAATCATGCAAGTGAGTGGATGTTTCTATCACACATAATACCCTTTAGTCGATTATGGTATTTATTTATATTTTTCTTTTTAAACCAGACTATATGGTTGGTCTCACTAAAACAGAAGACATGCAAAATTGTTAGGGAAAGCAGATGTTATATTACACAATTTTAGTTATTACAATGGACCACACCGCCTTCCGCAGTGATATCGGGTGTTGTCTTGCCATACTGTCAAACATCTGCTATGTCTTCTAACCGCCATAATTCGGTTATCAAATAAGTGTTGCTCATATTGTCGTTACGGTCATTTTCGCCTTACCAATTCAATGGCAAAAATCTCCTTTCGCTTGAAAGGTTAGACGGGAAAACGCAGCCATTTTAAACCAAAATTGTTAATAGTAGATTGGGGTAGATAAGCGAGGGCTTACAACCGCTGACTAAAGGCTCTGAGTATACATGGAATGAGACAACAGCGAGGTACCCTCAGACAGACATGCCCTGGTTGATGTAAATAATTCTTCACATCATATTCAGCTCCATACAATACTTGTTTAATATTAGTCACTGTGTTTTAAGGGTTATACTGTTGCTATAGTAACCTGTTATATAAAATGAAAAGAAATATGTTAAGCAAGGCTGACTGTACATTTGGGAGGCTGCTTTATGGTATTAAACCCGTAAGTAAGAAACTTACTGAAGCTTCAAGAGCCCATTAATCAACTGTCTTGCCGAAAAATGGAAACAGGTTCTTATTTTCTTAAATATCAGATGCTTTAAAATGTGTGCACTTAGGTAAATAAGATAAGTCAACATTTAGATGATCCTCTGTCGAGACACAGGTATCAATCTAATTGCAAAGTGAATGCAAGGGATGAAACCCAAATGATTAAAATGTTATGGATATATTACATAAATATATCAATTGAGCAGATGTAAGAGTGCTTCTTCTCTTTTCTTTTTATAGTCAATTTTACTTAAATACTTATTTGGGGCTTATTTGGTATGCAGATTTTATGTAAGGAAAAGGCTGAATACACTGTCAAGTGAATTAGCTAAATAGCCAAAGACTGTATTAAATGGTAATTAACAGAAAACATAATATAGCATGGTAAATAACAATTTTTTCTTTTGATATTCTTACTATTAAACCGTAAGGCACCAAAGCCAGTGCAAGCGAGGGATTTCCTCAGTGTGCTGAGTTGCCATCTGTGATTTGCAAAAACAGGGACCAAACAGTGGAGAGAGAAGAAATTGCAACTGATTGCCGGCGTGGGTATAAGACAAAAGTTGGAAGGGGTGGGAGGAAGAGAAAGGAATTTTCTCGCCTGACTCCTAGGCCCCAGTCCTCCCTGGCCCTGTTCTCACTTTCACTCTCCTCATATTTCACAACCCGAGCGAAGTCTAGTACTTTGGCGCAGGCTATAAACACCCTGAACAAACTCAGTCAGCTCAGTCAGTAGGCTTCCCCTTCCTGTTCACTGAATTTTTATGCCAGTTTATACAGACCCTTTTTTATACTTTTACATGTGCTCTTTACGGCAAGTAGAAAAGACCCCCGAAGAGTAAACGTAAAAGCGGAACTCCCCGTACGAACCCTAGAAATGTATTAGCTACTCTTTGATTTCAAAAGCATGACGTGGCTGCTGTGAATTGCTGCTTTCTGAACCGCCCTTACGTCGTTGTCGCTCTAGTTGAATTCGGTTTTGTTTCAGACATGGCAGTTGAAGCAGATTCTTCAGGTGATTTCTGAAGCGCTCATTAACAAATGCGTAAACGAAAGGATTGACGCAGGAGTTGAAAGTGACGATCACGATCCCAATGATGTAGGTGATGTTGCCGTACTCTTGTGCCTCATGGTAGTAGTTGAGCATGTAGATTATCAGGACTGGAAACCACGTGATTGCATACACAACGCTCACCTAAAAGCAAAAAATTTTGCCATTAGCTAAAACGGAGTAAAGCC